TGTGGGTGCTCCATTGCTGAAAGTTTTCAAGAAGAGATTGGACAACTATTTGTTGAGGCTGATATAAGAGCTCCTGCCTTGGCAGGGGGTTGGACTAGAAGACCTCCAAGGTCCCTTCCAGCCCTATCATTTTATAATAGTGAAATATACTTTTAAACAATGAGCCCAGAAGTTAATTTTGTCTTCCTCTGTCTTCCTCTTCCTCTGTTTACAAGATGTTATAGAAGAGAAACAAGTTTAGCTGACAAAATTAATACTGAGTTGAAAGTGGATATACAAATATACAGGATATACAGGAGTCACATGGAAAAAGATGTTAAAACTGGACATAAAAAAGAAACAATATAGTATCTTAATAAATTAAAGTGATATACAAATAAACTGAGAGTGAACTGGTTAATTTCCTGTACAGGATTTACAACAGAGGCTTGTTAAAGTTTCGAAGAGTTTTGTGAGAAGGGACAAATTAAAAATGAAATCAAATTCTATGACATACAAATAAAGGGATTAAAGATCAAGACTGTGAGTAGTAAAAGGAAAGAATATAAAGTTAGTTTATCCAATCAAGGTTAAAATAGATATGTTATTATCTCTGAAAATCCTTAATGGACTTTTGTTGACACCAAAATGGAAAGGATAAGGCTTTAAGACAGGGGTGTCAAACTCGCGATGTCACGTGAAATGTCATGATGTATCATGACTTTTTCCCATTGCTGGCAATGGGGTGAGTGCAGTTTTGGCGTGACGCATCTGGCCCATGTGCTGGCAGTTTGACACCCCTGCTTTAAGACAATGTTTCTCAGCCTTATCAACTTTACGATATGTGGACTTCAACTCCCAAAATTCCCTAGCCAGCATGCTAGGGCAGTGATGGCAAACCTTTTAGAGACCAAGTGCCCAAACTACAACCCAAAACCCACTTATGTATCGCAAGGTACTGGGTGGGTGTGGCCCACTTGGCAGGCATAGCTACAGTAGGTGTGGCAGACTGGGTGGGCATGGCCACTGCATGGGTGTGGCTGCAGTAGTCATGACAGACTGGGTGGGCATGGCCGGGGTGGGCGTGGCCACCTCAATGTTGCTTATGTGGAAGCCAGGCAGGGCAGGATTGGGGGAGATCCAGGGAGTCTCTGGCGGGTGGGATGGTGGGCTCCCCAATGGTGGCTCTGGGCTGGTTGGCCTTAGGCCAGTGATGGCAAACTTTTAGAGACAACGTGTGCTGAAGTGATGGCGCATGCTCACAGAGAGGGCTCCGCATGCCGCCTCTGGCACGCGTGCCATAGGTTTGCCACCACTGTGCTAGGGGATTCTGGGAGTTGAAGTCCACACATCTTGAAATTGCCGAGATTAAGAAAACTTTAAGAATTTGCTTCTAGATAAGAAATGAGATATGGGAAATGGGAAGAAGAAATATTTTGTTGCATTTTAAGAAAAGGTGATATGTTAATAAAATTGTTTATATTTGTTATAATGAAGGGGGAAGCCGTTCTTTATATATTTCTTTTTCTTAATTATATTCTGATTTTTCTTTCTTTTCCCTTTTTCTATTTTTTTTCTTTCTTTTCTGCATAGTCTATTTTTTTCTCTTTATTGTTTTTAGTTTGTATTGTTGAAATGGTGATCGTTAATAAAATCAGCACTTAAAAATGCTTTTTTAACTCTTATCTGTTGAAAGCCTCCTTAAAGCACAGCAGGATTTTAAATGTTTTGCATAACAAATGTCAGAATTCCTGTGTTTTTACCTTCATACATGCAGATTCCCTTGTATACCACTAGATAATGCTGAACTCTGAATTAAACCCATAAATGGGTTTTGGGTTGTAGTTTGCCTTTATTTGGGTTTGTAGTTTGCCTTTATTGAAAGGATATGCTTGGTACCTTAAATATGTTTTTTAAACTAGAGAGAATGAGGAAAGGATAAGAAAAAGAGACTTCAGTGGTGACATTAACTTTAGACAGAATAAGCAGATTGTCTCGGGCAATAGGTGAAGATAACATCATTCCTATCTACCAAATTGAGAAAGAAGAAGGATCACCTGGAAGGATCCTACTTTCTGTCTCTATTCTGCTTCTTTATGTATAGTAGCAGTCCCCAGCCTTTCCAGCTCTGTGGACCGGCAGCAGTGGCAGCAGGATAGGAGGGGATGGTTTCGTGCATTTGTCCACCACTTGCATAGCCCAGTTTCCAATGATCACGTACCGGTACCGAGCCATGGACCAGGGGTTGGGGACCCCTGATGTACCGTATATGCCGGCGTATAAGGCGACTTCCGCAAGCGCTAAAATCGGCGCCAAAGACGGGGGTCGTCTTATACACCGAGTCGTCTTATACGCCGGAAATACTGGTAGTTTCCGGTGTATAAGATGACGTTCTAGGAATGCAGCTCGGTGACAAAGACGGGGGTCATCTTATACGCCGGGTCGCCTTGTACGCCGCATATACGGTACACTATATAGAGCTGGAGCCATCCTTTTGGGATCACCCATGTTAATTATGCTCAGTTTCCAGTGACTCTGAAAAGTTCTCTACCTTTTAATAAAGAGATATAGGTAATCGAAATGTTATCTATGGTTCATGTCTCTCTCTCCCTCTTCTTGCTTGCTTTTTGTCTCATTTTCGTCAAGAGTTTTGATATTTGCTGAAGTTGAATAAAATATATTTCTGCTGGATGAACTGGGTGACATGATGAAAAGCGTATGAAGATGTCACAGTGCAAATGCTGCAGCGACTTGTGTCAAATTCAGGTTTGCAAGTTTAAGGTGTGTGATGCTAGCACCACAAGTGTTGTTTTAGTCTGGCAACACTGCAGTTTGATGTGGACAACATAGGCTAAGTAACATTCAGATGTGGGTGATTTTAGCAACTTGTTTTCTTCCATAGAAGACGCAGTTTTCTCAAATTCACCTCTAAGAGAAAGTTTCACACCACTGTTATTTAGATAATGTAAAGTTTTTTTAGCTCAGAATCCTAATAAGCCCCAATGAGACTCTGAACACGAGGCCACTGAAAAGAACACAGTTTTATTCCTTTGATCAAAGTAATAAGCTGGATGTCCCAATCTCTTGTCACACGCACGCACACTGTGAGACAGAGCAGAATGAGCACACCCTAATCAAAAAGGTTCTGCCTTTTATAACTAATACACATTTTTTTTCTTAAAGATCTTAGAGATTTCTTTTTCGTTTATCTATCAAGCATGTTGCAATTCTGCATCTCTAAGCTCTAAATACACAATAGCTCAATAGCTGGCAATTATCCCAGAAACTTAACTTGTTACTTCCAGGCAGAGAAGCAAAGAAATACATTTTAAAACTGCAGCAGGGAAGTGAGAAGAGAAAAGCAAAGTGATACATTTAAGATCCAAGGAGAAAAGGGGGTGGAAGAGCGACGCTATATGATGCAAGCTATAGCAGTGTCATTTTTAAAGTATCAGAAAGCTTTTCTTTCTCTTTGCTCAGCATAATTTAGATTACATTGAAGCACATACAGAAAGCAAACAAAATAAATGAACAATGGCTAGAGTAGACTACGTTATACATGAAAGATTATATTTTGAAAGATTACATTTTGATCCTTCAATAACACTAAATTATCAGTAATTAGGAAGTTAAAATTGCCCCACAACCTACCTTTTATAATAGATTTACAAATATTTGTACTTATATATTTACTTGGCCTCCTGGCAAAAATCATGTCTGTCTGTCTGTCTGTCTGTCTGGCAACCAGCCAAGGTACTTAGTTACTTATTTACTTACCTCCCTCCCTCCCTACCTTCCTACTTTCTTGGCCTCCCAGCCAAGATCTCATCTGGAACTTTTCTGGGTTATAAAATGCAAAAGCACATAGCATTGTTTGCAATTCAGGTTAACGATGGAAGGTTAAGGAATCAGAGGTCAAAAATACAGTGAAAATTTATATCACTTGATGAAACACACACAAAAATGCATCTGCTAAGATCAAAATAGGAGTCTGAATTCATAGGTTATAGCGGTGATGGTGAACCTTTTAGAGACCGAATATCCAAACTGCAACCCAAAACCCACTTATTTATCGCTGGGTGCCAGGTGGGACGTGGCCCACTGGGTGGTTGTGGCTGTGGTGGTCATGGCAAACTGGGTGGGTGTGGCCAAAGTGGGTATGGTCACCTCGATGTTGCTCATGGGGAGGGATGCCTGTGGATGCCAGGCAGGGTTGGGGGAGATCCAGGGTGTCTCTGGGGCAGTGGGGAGGAGATCCAGGGGCAGTGGGGAGGAGGCTTGTCCTGTGGGGTGAGTCGAGGCGAGGCAGGGTGGGGGTATCATTGCCGTGGGGTAAGGCAAGTCAGGGGCCAAGGCAGCTGCTGCCTGACACCATCGGCCCCCGCACACAGAGGCCAGAGAGTGCATGGGGACCGACGGTGTCTGTCAGCAGTCACAGCCTGCCGGCTCCTCAACTGGTGCACTCTGGGGCTCCACAGCCCACCGCCAGCAGTTCAGAGAAGCTGCCTCTGAGCTGGACAGGTGGCCAACAGCTGAGGAGGCAATGCAGTGGGTCATGCCTGGGAAAAGGTGAGCATGCAAAGTCAGGAGGGATGGGATGGGGGGGAAAGAAACCAGCCGTGCCGGGATGCATCCGGCCACATGGGACCTCACACAGCTGGTTGAAGAGGGATGGTTGCCCTCTCCGGGGCATGGCACATGTGCCCACAAAGAGGGCTCTGAGTGCTGCCTGTGGCACGTGTGTCATAGGTTTGCCACTACTGGGTTATAGTATGCTAAGCACATATAGGAAATAATAATACTATTGTTTCCTATATCACATTTCAACAATTTTAAGACATTCAACAAGTCACAGGTTTCAAAAGTAGAACTGTTTAAGGTAAACAGCAGAGAATCTGAGGCAAAAATGAGTCTAAAAGTAAAACTGAGTTCATGTTTTCTCTGATGTCTAATGCTAGTATAATGGATATGCAGAGGGAAGAATTACCTTGCTCTTAATTTAATGTAAACATTCCAGTTTATGGTTTGACCTTTTCTTTCTTTCTTTTTTTTTTTTAACAAAAAATAAAAATCTGTTTATGAATCAGTGAGACATTCTATAATATTCCTAAGGAAAATCTTACAGAATAGCTTCAAAATTACTTCTGGTCTCCTTTATTTTTCTCATAATATTACTTTCTCAGCTTCTTTGTATGTCAGTACCATAATCCTACTGTTTTAACCAGCTGAGGTAGAATCACTGTATCACTAGCACCCTCCAATGGTAAATCTTGGGTTTTCCTCCCCGAAGTGAAGATAAGTTTGAGCAAAAATCTGTCTTCCTGTCTGACAAAGAGCTTCCAAATTTTGTTCTAGCTCACATCTCACTTCTTTCCATCAGAACTCTGCTAAACACCTTCCTAGACATGATTAACAAAATAATCTCCATTTTATTTTGCAGTCACTTTTTCTTTTTCTTTTCTCCATATAAAAGAACTATAACAGCTTTCTTCCAGGATTCAGGCATGGTGGAGCCTTCCTATACTAAATAAATTATTCAGCCATAAGCAAGCTACATTCTACTTTTAATATTTCCACACTGACCCAATGTATATATGCAGCCTTACATTTTTTATATTCTCACAATATTTATAACTTCTTTTTATTTTTCCCTTGCACATTAACATTTGTAACAGTCATAATCAGAACATTTCAACAGGAAATAAAATCACAGAAATAATCAGGTTAAAGTTGGTTCAAAATCTGGCAGATTTACAAATGCTCATATATAATAAAGCCTCTACAGACTGCCACTGATTTCTATAATTTGAAATTAACATGTTTTATTATCTCATTACAGGTTGCTACACTTGTACATTGCATTTCATCCTTTTGAAAAACTCAAGCATGGCGTCCATTCGTATTTCTCTACGTTAAACTATGGACATTTCTTTGGATCTTACTCTGGGTCTAGGCATAAAACAGCCATGGCTCTCTTGATCTCAGAGTAATCTAGACTAGGCTGTTTCTGAATCAGGTCTCTAAAACAAATTGGATAGTCTATGCTCACTCCTAACTTGTAATAATTCAAGTTCTGATTATTCCTTTTATTTCGCGCCAAAAATGACAATATTGAATTAGAGGATTTCTGCCATTATTAAGTTCAATGCAAACCATTGCAGAAGTAAGCTACACTACCCAGTCAATAACCTAGATATTCTGTCCTCTTGACCTCACCATCTATCCAAAATGCTATCATTAGGGAGATTGATTTCTGATCGTATTGTAGAGCCCATAAACAGCAGCAGCTGTGTTGACCTTTAAGAGAGAAATTCTGTTATCTAGAGAGGCAATCCTATTAGTGGGGCTGCATTTTTTAGAAATCTTCTTCAGGTAAAATAGCTAAAACCCCAGGAAAAAAAATCTAGGGAAGACAATGTGTCTGATATTTGAGCCATCCCTGTACATGTTTATACAGTATTCTTAGATGAAGCATGCAAACATTTCTCTTATTAGATAAAAGGTTATCTAGGGTCATTTTTAATTGAGAAAGGACCAATTAATAACTGAATCCCCTCCTCTTTTTTCTTTTCTTTTTTCTTTTCTTCTTATCATGACATTTTATGCAAGTGCTTTGTTGCATAAAATGTTGTCGGTCTTTCAGGTGTATCACTGCCACTTGCAACATGCCTGAGCCCTGGAGCAATTGATCAAAGTTGAAGTTCTTTGAAGCTTCTGAATTACAATAGGATACATTTGTTCTGTTCCTCGGTAAGATTGCATTTTATGCCACGTTATCCAGTTCTATCCCAGTATTTGAATTTCTTCTGGATCCAATGCATATTCCTAATTTAAATTGAGAACTGATATAGGGTAGGGTTCAGAGTGGGTTTAAATCTAACTACTACTAACTGTACACACATACCTAGACACACACACCATATATGGAAATGTATCAAGAAACCATCTTGTTTTGCTACTTATAAGAGACAGCTTATATATGAGCTGGTATGCCTGATAATTTTCAGATCTGCTCACCTAGGTCTAACTTAGAATCCTCCAATTATTTCCATTTTCCTTCCCACACAGCTGGCATTCACATTTAAATAGATCAAAGTTAATTATGTAACAAGATGATAAAAAGTGTTGAATTATTTAAACTTTGGTACAAATAAGCTGTTCAGCCTTTGAATGGGTTATTTATAACATGACGATGGATCAGTATGATTCCACAGGAGAAAAAATTACCTTGGGCAAAAGCTAAATGACTTTTACATATCTATGTTTTAATAATTTTTTTTTAGGTTGTGTTGTGTAAGTGTCTATAGTTCTCAGAGGCATCCAGGATTAACCTTGATGGTCACAGGTAGGTATTCAAAATCCCATTTTGTATATGTATACATTTTTTAATCAAATTTCTATACCATTCATATCACTTGAGTGACTCTGGGTAGTATATGTGTGTGTGTGTTTGTGTGTGTATGTGTACATATGCACATATACACATGTGCAGTTCCAATCACACGTGCACTGATATTTCTATTTCTTTTGCATATTATTGTAGGAGATGACCAGGCAGAGCCTGAAGGTGGAGTCAAACACATCATCAGTCTGAAATCCCTACGATCCTAAAAGATACCTAAGTCCAGCCCTCCTTGAAGTCCATTGATTCTTATCCATGCCAATTTGCCTTAACTGTTAGTTGATCAGATTCTTGTATAGGCTTCAGGGAATAAATTTGCAGTGCTTTTGAATTCCTGGTTTCCTGATCTGGACAATTATAGCTATAAAAATATAAATGGAAAATAAATAATATTGAGTTTTTCTCTTCATTTCAAAATATCACTGTAATAGGAAAACAAGAATGTCTGAAGGAAAACTAAACACTCAAATGTCTAAGCGGAAGATACCATGGCAACCTTATTGGTCATTTCAAACCACTCGCAGTACACAAAGTTCCCTGTTGCATGTTCCCACAAGGAATACTAGTGAGCAAATATTTATTTCCTAAATCTGGGTCATGGTGAGAAATATAAATATTTTTCATGTTACCTAGGATCACAACATATCTACTTTCAGGATTTGTTCAGTCAAGTGAACAATGTGCCCAATATTTCATAGATACTTTTTAAAATAATGGATTTTTCTGTTACTTATAGAATCGAACATAAAATTAGAAATTGAGATACTCCTGGTAGACCTAAACACTTTGGCCCTAGGCCAGTGTTTCCCAAACTTGACAATTTTAAGGCATGTGGACTTCAACTCCCAGAATTCCACAGCCAGCCAGTTGAAGTCCACATGCCTTAAAATTGTCAAGTTTGGGAAACACTGCCCTAGGCCAAATCCATCAATTAATTTCTCTTTTCCTCTTTCATTCCAGTTCATAGACAGCCCTACAGACAACTAATAAAAGATGGGAAAATGATCAATGATCAAGTCTTCTCCAAATGTCAACTGGTCAAAAAAAGGGAGATTCTAGATGAGGATTTATTAATAGGAAGAGAACGGAAGAGGATACTATATGTGATAAAGAAGGGATGTTTTTGTTTTCCTGAGAACAGTGAATTGGAAACCAATAACAAATGGAGAGAAATTTTAGAGAGAGCTACTGTAATTAGATTACAAAAGAAGCAGAGTGCCTGTCCCTTTAATAGCTTTCAAGCTGGACAGCAGTGAAGTGAAATAGGTATTTCTACCACTATTGCTGATTGTTCTTTTTTTCAACAGAACATATGAATTTAGCAGCTAAAACTGCTTCTTCTGGCCAACCATGCTCAACTTATCATTTATCATTCCAGAATTACTGTATATTCCCCTTTCAACCCAAAATGTTGCTATGTTGGTTTTAGCCCTCAATGGCTTGAGGGCTCATGCTCTTCTGCTAGAATTGGCAAACTTATGCCTTCTGGTAGTTTTGTCTTTTACTGCTCTTATTCAATCCTGACTGAGACTGGTTGGAACTGAAGTAAAAAAAAAACTTCTGGAAAATAACAAATTGTCTCCTTCTGTCTAATATCTCTCTTTCATCCTCTCTCTCTCTCTCTCTCTCTCTCTCTCTCTCTCTCTCTCTCTCTCTCTCTCTCTCTCTCTCTCTCTCTCTCCCTCTCCCATCCTCTCTCTCTCTCTCTCTCTACCCCTCTCCCATCTTCTATCTGTCTGTCTGTCTGTCTGTCTGTCTGTCTGTCTGTCTGTCTATCTATCTATCTATCTATCTATCTATCTATCTATCTATCTATTTATCTATCTATCTATCATTTATCTGGTGACTATTAACTGTTATATTAAGACATACCCTATTAACATATCATACTGTGTATTGTTTTTTAGCCAAATTAACTGTAAATTAATATTATTTCATAAGGAAGCACTTTGTTCCTAAAAGAGAGGCACAGGGAACTTCAGACAGATTCAGGGGCAACAGTGAAAATATTTGAACAACAGAAGCAGTATTTGCTTTGAATTTAAAGTTTGGTGGGTGATTTTATATATTTACAGCCGTCTTTCTTCTTGCACAGGAAGAAAGAAAAATCTCTGCAGCACCTTGAACCTAAAAAGTTCTTTACATAGAATGGAAGAAGAGAAATATGGTCCCTGCATTTGAAGCCTGCAGTGCTTCAGCATTCATCTGAACCATTCTAACAGATAATCTGAATGGTTAGTCGACTTGTAATTCATGTAAGCTGTTTTAGCAGCCATGCATCAACCATGAACACCTGATGAGCTATTACAGACAGCCACCTCACCACTCTAACATGGTCTCATTTATTAGCTCAGATTGGAGGTAGATTAAAAGATCAGAAGCAGATTACAATTTTTATGACCTTTCTGCTGAATCTCTGGGCTTTTTTTTCTGACCCTTAACTTTATCACCATTCAACATTGTCATCTTCTATCAATTCTTCTATACACATAAGGACACTTGTATACATGGATACAAGCACACCTATCATTAATTCACCCGTTCATATAAAGATACTGTTATGGTTCCGGCTAATGAAACATTTCAAAGAACTTCCAGGCATTGATTTTCCTAAAACTCGTTTATTGTTACAAAATGTTGGCACAGGCATAACGGAGGCATGCCAAGATCTAAATTCTCCTCCTCCGAGCAATTAAATTATCAGCATGTTCCCTCCCTAAATTAGCAGTCATATATCACGTTATCCAATCAGTGTGAAGGTCAAAGGTTTCCTTTCTCTCTCTTTCCTGGGCTTTTCCCCCCATCCTCTTCTGCTCTGCATTAACTCTAAAAATACCAGATAGTTCTGCATATTGTCAAAGCAAGAATATACAGTATTTGCAGCGCTGACAGATACATTGAGTATTTCAAAATTAGCGACGTTCCAGCTAATTCATGCTGTCAGAATGGACTTCTCCCTTTGCTTCCTACTCTTCTTGTCTGCAAAAACATAGGCCTAATATTTCAGTCTTGGTTGTGCTTCTCACTTTAAACTCTTTGCAGTGCTTATTTTGAGGACAGCTCTGTTGCAAACACCATGAGATCCCCTCCTTGCAATGGAGACACATTTCAGTAAAAAAGAATTTTTCAAGAATGTGGTGCACGTAGCTGTGGAGAGGGCTAATCAGTATAATTATATCCTGGAGATTAGATTGATCGTAAACATAATTAAAACAGTCAAGTTCAACTGTGACAATTTAACCAAGCAACACTATATCAACCGCACATAACCTCTTACAGTTTAAATCTTTATGACTTCTTACATAGAATTAAGAATAAGGGCTCACTGAGGCGAGCATGAAGAAGCCAATTAAAACTATGTCGAATCAGACACATAAAGGCTAAAAGGACAAGGGTGGTTTATTAAGGAAGTAACATGCTGTGATCAAAAGTAGGCATCTCTGAACTTTCTTTCCCTGTTTGGGAGGGGGGGGGGAGAGAAGAGGAATAAAATCAAACAGGCCAAAAAGGAGAGTTTAAATGTATCAGCATGAGCATCTCCAAGGGGAGCAAAGGAATAAATGAAGTCTCATGTCTCATAACATAATTATTGAAAAGCTACAACTTACATTCTTGCATTAGACATTGTGGTGCAAGCAGGCAATGTAACGGCATGTGGGAATACGTATAAGTGTCTCAGAAATCTTGAAATTAAATAGTAAAAAATTAAAATAGTAGTGATTAAAGGTGAGAAGTCCAGTTCCCCATTCAACAACGGGGTGATTTTAATTTGATCATTCTATTAAAATATTTCTGCAGCTTTTGAAACATAAAATATTAATCTGGGAATGGATTGTCCCAGAAATCAAAATATCTGATAGGTTGCTGAACTACGAGATCAAACCTTTTATTTTTCTATACTAACTACGTTTATGATGCAGTTATTTTACAATTCGCCCTCCCATCTGAAATATTTCACAATCCAGCTGTTTAATGTTTGTTTAATGAAACAAAAAAGATTGATTTGAAAATGCCGTTCACTGACGTTGAACAATTACTCACACTTCCATTTATGTCTTTTACCATAAGATGGCAGCATTCATTAACAAAACAATCCATTTATAACTTATTTGCAATGAATTCTGTCTCTGAAGCTAGAAATTTGTGTAACAAGAAAGTGAATGCATAGTGTAGAGTAAATGAACAGAGAAACAGAATTATGTACTGATAAAATATAGATAGGTAGCAACATGTGGCATCAATATCTATGTCTATATGCATATCTATATGTTTGTGTGTGTGTGAGAGAGAGAGAGAGAGGGGGGAGGGGATTTTAATTTTTTTAAAAAATCAGAAGTTTGGAGTGAGAGAAAGTAACTGGCCCAAGGTCCAGCCAGCTTTTATAACTAAGGCAGAACTTGAACTCACGGTCTCCCACTTTCTAGTCTTAGCCATAAGATTAAATGATAAGACAGCACAAGAATCTGCAGCTTTCCTTTATGCTTGTGTTCCATTATAAGCTCTGGATTCTTGCTAATTGTTCTTTTTAATAATATTTTAAATTGGATTTCACTCCCATTTATAGCAGTGAAGATAATTTATTGAGTGATTATGTGCCATCATCATTATCCACTCTTAGCAACCACATGGGAAGATTTTCTCCGTGAAGTTCTGCCCCTAACCTGGTCTTTCAACAGTGAATAGATCTGGGCTGTAAATGAGTCCATCCACCTGCCTGCTCTTCTCCTTCTCCTTCTCCTTCTCCTTCCTCGTCTCCTTCTCCTTTCTACCTTTCCCAGCATTAAAGCCCATTCTAGAGAGCCAGGTCTTTACATGCTACATCCAAAGGTGGAAGTATGACGTGACTCAGTATTATTTAACAAGTTATACAGCCTTGCAGAGAGTAAGGACTTGAGTTGCAAGGAATAGCTGTTTTTATTCACACTATTGTGTATATTACATGGCATAAATTATTATTTCAGGTATTTCTCCCCTTGACTGTGTGGTATAAGACATACAATACATTTTTAATTATGTGATTTCATAATTAATGAACAGTTGATACCCGTGACGTGTGGTAATATTTTTTAAGATGCTGTAGTAGATTTCTTGGAGATTTTGAAAAACTGAAGAAAATTTATATTTCCCTGTAACAAGTGGCTACCTATCTTCAATATTAATTGAAATATTGAAATATTGTCTTTTATTACAGAATGATGGTGATAAGGAAGGGGAGTACTTCAACTGAGAAGATACAGAAAAGCAAACTAAAATTCTTGGAATTATGATGAAGTATCAACTAATTCTTTCTCACTCACTGAGCAATTTTATGGAAAAGATTCAATAAGTGAAACAGTATATTTAGTA